TAAAATGCAAAAAGATGAGAGAGTAAAAGAAAGACAAGAAGAGCACAAGAAAGGAGAAATCATTGGTGAAGACGAGGCGAAAGAAGGAAGGAAAGAAAAGAAAGAAAGGAAGGAAGAAGAAGGAAGGAAGGAAGGAGGATAGAAGAAGGAAGGAAGGAAGGAAGGAAGAAGGGAGAAGGGGAAAGAAGGAAAGAAAGGAGAGGAAGGAAGGAAGGAAGAAGAAGGAAGGAAGAAGGAAGGAAGGAAGGAAGAAGGAAGGAAGGAAGGAAGGGAAAAGGAAGAAAGAGAAGAAAGAAGAAAGAAAGACAGACAAGAAAGAGAGAAAGGAAAGAAGAGAAGAAAGAAAGAAAGAAAGGAAGGAAGGAAGGGAAGAAGCAAGGAAGGGAAGAGAAGGAGGGATGGGAGGGAGGGAGGAAGAGTAAGAAAGAAAGAGAAGAAAGAAAGGAAGAAGGAAGGAAGAAGGAAAGAAGAGGAGGAAGGAAGGAAGGGAAGGATACGTGTGGGAGATGAGGAAAACAGGCAGCGAAGACCAGCAGTCAGCCTGCGGGTCCCTCCTGGCCTGCCCGTCGAATGTGTGCGGCGGGCCGGATCCATGTCCAGAATCTCCGCAGAACTGTGAGTATGCCCTACACCATATCAGGCCAGGGAGGATGAAGGGTCAGATATTGAATTCAATTGCTAATCAGCGCTAACTTGTTTTTTTAGATTGTTGAGATAAGTCTCATTGTGGTCCATCCAGAGCTGAGTTAAATGGTGGATCCGTACTCACTGCAGAGCTTGACGTTCCAGGCTCAAGGATGCTCCCACCTCAGCCTCCCAAGTTACTGGCGACCACAGGCATGAGCCACCATGGCCCAGGAATATTTTTTAAAATTGTTTTGTAGAGATTGGGCTTTTCCGCTGTGGTTGCCCCAGATGGGTCATGAACTCCTTGGCCTCAACCAGATCCTCCCTCCCTCAGCCTTCAAATGGCAGGGATTATAAGAAAATCAGCTGATTTTTGCTTTTCCTTTGAGACAGAGTCTCGCTCCCTCTGGTCATTCCGAGGCAGTGGTGCAGTGGGCTAAACTCAGCTCACCCTGGCATTCCAAACTATTCCCTCCTGCCTCAGCCTCCTAGGTGAGTTAGATGAGGATTGACAGGCACCTGCCACCATTGGCCCAACTAATGTTTGTTCTATATGAGTAGGAGAGTTTCACCATGTTTGGCCAGGCTGGTCTCAGAATCTCGCTGATCTTCAGGTTTGATCCTCCGGGCCTTCAGCCTCCCAATAGTGCTGGGATTACAGGTGTGAGCCACTGCCACCCGCGACTATCCAGCTGGATCTTGAGAAAATTAACATAGACTATTTGGGGAGGGAGGCAAATTCCATCACAGAGTCCTTAACAGTGGAAGAAGCCAATTAGAGTAGCCAGGAGGTTCAGCAGAGGGAAGATGAGGCTGTATGGCAGAAAGACACAGAGAGGTGCAGCCTTGCTGGCCTTGGAAGATGGAGCCAGGGGCCCTGGATACACGAATTTGGAGGCTCCAGAAGCTGCAAAGGGCAAGAAAACTGGTATTCTTTCCCTGGAACCCTGGAAGACAACACAGCCGCGAGTGTCCTTATTCAGCCCCTGACGACCCCGACACAGATTTCATGCGTAAACTACAGATTTCTAACATGATGAATGTGTGTTGTTTCAGCCAGCCAGTGTTGTGTTTGTTGTTAGGCAGCAGTTGGAAACTGATAACTCCAAGCAGCCCAAATCAGGAGATGACCCCAGAGGGAGTGTGGTCCCAGGCTACGCTGCCTAAGGGTAATGGATAGAGGCAGATGACATGGGGCAGGACGGAATGAGAGATGCAGGGAGGGAAGGACTGAGCAAAACGCCATGGTGCCTCCCCAGGCCCACACAAGGTAAAGTCTGGGAGAAGTCAGTACAGCCCTCTGGGAGAAAGTGCAGAACCATAGCTCTGGCGACCACCTAGCACCACCTTGTTCCACACAAACTCACAACCAGGACCATAAAGTGCCTGGGGCAACTGGCAACTTGACGTTATCGCCACTGAATTGTCCTCGTTGAGGCAACTGAACTGACAGCCGTCCCCAGAGAACCCGGACGGCGAAGCACACTGGCCCTGTTCCCAGGGTGCCGCCATTGTCACAGGTGCCTGGGGAAACACAAGAAACAAGGGAAGTTCAGGATAAAGCCTGATCTCGGTGACATAGAAATTTTGCAGGGAAGGAAGGAGGGGGAACAGAGAGCAGGAGGTCCAACCTGCAGTGGTGGTCAACGTTGACTGTTGTTGGTCGTCTGAGAAGTGGTGGGAGTTGTCCTGCGCGATGTAAGGGTGGTAGGAGTCTGGGTATGGCTGGCCACTGTGGTCTCTGAAGTCCTGGTGGTGGATGGGGAGGAGTGTGCTGACTTGCTTGAAGTCCTCAGGATGGTCGAAAGGCTACTGCTTGGTTTCGTGGTGAGCGGGATGGTAGAGATGCCAGGAAGATGTGGGGGGATCACAGAGATGGTGCTCAACCAGGTCTCACTGGTGGGCATTTCAGTACTTGTGAAAACCGTGTTTGTGGGTACAGTCCCAGTGCCAGTGGAACTGGAAGCATTCGTTGTGATGCTGGACTCACTTTCTGGAGTCATGGAAGAAGACGTCATGTCACTTTCTGGCGTCATGTCCATATATGTAGCAAGGGTAGTTTGCATACTGATGGAGCTAGGACAGGTGACCATTTCAGTAGTAAAGGGAAGCACTGTTAATGGGGTGGTGGGAGGAGAAGTAGCTTCAGTGCTGGAATCCATTTCAACACACGGATCAGTGGGAGAGGCAGGGACTATGGTAATTGTTATAGTTTCTGGACAGGGTGTGGTGGAGGGAAGGGAAATATAAGAAAAGGGGGTTATTTCAGTGAGAGCTGTGGTCAGAGAGGAGCTGGTTGGAGAAGTGCTGGTGGTTGCAGAGGAAGAGAGAGTAGGAAAGGCTGTGATAGAAGAGGAGCCCACATTTTCTGTACTGAAAGTGTATGCTGAAGAAGGAACAGAATGAGTGGTGGTATAGAACAGTGGAGTTATGCTGGTAGAAGACAGAGAAGAGGACATGATGATAGTGGGTGTTGAGGACCAGATGATGGTACTAAAAGAAGTCAAGATTGCGTTTGTAGATGTACTTCCCCTAGTGAAAGATTCTGTAGTGAACTCACTTGTAGATGTGAGTGAAGTTTGCAATGAGGGAGTAGAAGCACTTGTTTGAAGGGTGGAGGAATGTGTGCTAGGAATAGGAACCTGTGATGTTGACATGATCGTGCTCAAGGCTGTTGATGGAGTAAGAGTGTGAAGAGTGGACGTGGAGAAATCTGTACTTCCAAAGGTGACAGTAGTAGGTACAGGAGATGTTTGGGTCCCGGTGGCAGACGTCAGTACAGGAGGGGTCTGTGTTGGGGTTTCAGGTGTAACAACAATACTTGTGCTAAAGGAAGTGATTGGGGTGTTCTCAGTACTTCTGAGGGTCGTTCTCACAGTGGACATGGTGGGAGAGGTTGTGCCCACAAGGGATGATGTTTCTGTGCTTTGGATGGAGGGAGAGGATGAAATGATGCGTGTTGGGGTTGATAAGCTACCAATATCCGTGGGTATAGAGGGAAGGTCTGTAGTTGTAGTCAATGAAGTGCTGGTTCCCACAGATGAGGGGGTGAGAGTTTGTACGGTTGTGGTCGGGATGTCTGTACTCTGAGAAGCTGGAGTTACAGGTGTGGAAGTCATCCCAGTCTCTGAGGTAGTAAAATGTGAGGTGATGGCAGTTGTGGATGTGCTGACTGTGGAGTAGCTGGTTGAAGAAGTGAAGCTGGGAGTACTGTGTGAGGTGGTCTCAGTGTTGGTGATGGAAGAAGTGAAGCTGGGAGTATCAGGTGAGGTGGTCATGGTGGTGGTGATTGAAGAACTGAAGCTGGGAGTACTGTGTGAGGTCGTCGCAGTGGTGGTGATTAAGGAAGTGAAGCTGACAGTACTTTGTGAGGTGGTCTCAGTGGTGGTGACTGAAGAAGTGAAGGTGGGAGTACTGTGTAAGGTGGTCTCACTGGTGGTGATTGAAGTGAGGCCAGGAGTAACATGTGAGGTTGCCTCAGTGGTGGTGACCACAGAAGTGAGGCCAGGAGTACTGTGTGATGTGGTCTCAGTAGAGGTGATTGAAGAAGTGAAGCTGGGAGTACTGTGTGAGGTGGTCTCGGTGGTGGTGATCGAAGAAGTGAAGCTTGGAGTACTGTGTGAGGTGGTCTCAGTGGTGATGATCGAAGACGTGAAGCTGGGAGTACTGTGTGAGGTAGTCTCAGTGTTGGTGATGGAAGAAGTGAAGCTGGGAGTATCGGGTGAGGTGGTCTTGGTGGTGGTGATTGAAGAACTGAAGCTGGGAGTACTCTGTGAGGTTGTTGCAGTGGTGGTGATTAAAGAAGTGAAGCTGACAGTACTTTGTGAAGTGGTCTTGGTGGTGGTGATTGAAGAAGTGAAGGTGGGAGTACTGTGTAAGGTGGTCTCACTGGTGGTGATTGAAGTGAGGCCAGGAGTAATGTGTGAGGTTGCCTCGGTGGTGGTGACCACAGAAGTGAGGCCAGGAGTACTGTGTGATGTGGTCTCAGTAGTGGTGATTGAAGAAGTGAAGCTGGGAGTACTGTGTGAGGTGGTCTCGGTGGTGGTGATCGAAGAAGTGAAGCTTGGAGTACTGTGTGAGGTGGTCTCAGTGGTGATGATCGAAGACGTGAAGCTGGGAATACTGTGGGATGTGATCTCAGTGGTGGTGATTGAAGAAGTGAAGCTGGGAGTAGTGTGGGATGTGGTCTCAGTGGTGGCAATCAAAGAAGTGAAGCTGGGAGTACTGTTTGAGTTGGTCTTGGTGGTGGTGATCGAAGAAGTGAAGCTGGGAGTACTGTGTGAGGTGGTCTCAGTGGTGGTGATTGAAGAAGTGAAGCTGGGAGTAGTGTGGGATGTGGTCTCGGTGGTGGTGATCAAAGCGACGCTGGGAGTACTGTTTGAGGTGGTCTCGGTGATAGTGATCAAAGAAGTGTATCTGGGTGTACTGTGTGAGGTAGTCTCGGTGGTGGTGATTGAAGAAGTGAAGCTGGGAGTACTGTATGAGGTGGTCTCGGTGGTGGTGATCGAAGAAGTGAAGCTGGGAGTATTGTGTGAGGTGGTCTCGGTGGTGGTGATCAAAGAAGTGTAGCTGGATGTACTGTGTGAGGTAGTCTCAGTGGTGGTTATTGAAGAAGTGAAGCTGGGAGTACTGTGTGAAGGGGTCTCGGTGGTGGTGATTGAAGAAGTGAAGCTGGGAATACTGTGTGAGGGGCTCTCACTGGTGGTGATTGAAGAAGTGAAGTTGGGAATACTGTGTGATGTGGTCTCCATGATAGTGATTGAAGAAGTGAAGCTAGGAGTACGGTGTGAGGTGGTCTCGGTGGTTGTGATTGAAGAAGTGAAGCTAGGAGTACTGTGTGAGGTGGTCTTGGTGGTCGTGGTTACCAAGTTTGTTGTAGGAACTGTGGCTGTTACTGTGGTTGGAAGAGACAAAGAGGTGGGTCGGAGAGAGGTCACAGTGGACAATGTACCGGTCATACTGGTGGAATAGGTGGTTCTGACCGTGGAATCTGTGAGAGCACTAGTAAGAGAAGTAGGGTAGGTGGTCTCAGACGCAGGTGTAGAACTGGTGTCGTAATTGGATAATGTGGTCACCAAGGAAGACAAAGGGGTGGTGTTTATGGTACCAGTGGTGATCGCTTCTGTACTTGGGACAGGCATAGAAGATGAAATGCTACTGGTGAATGATGGTAACATATTAGTGGCTGTGGGCAGAGGGTTGGTAGTTGTCATAGATGTCACTGTATATGTGGAGGTGATTGAAGAAGTGATGGGGGGAGTAGAACTCACTGCTGTTTTGAAAGATCCTGTGGAAATGTCAAGGGTAGGAGTCACTGTGGTGGTCTCAGGGGATGTGGCTGTTGAACTGGTCAATGTAGTCTGACCTGTGCCTGTAGTTGCTACAGTGGAAGAAGATGTTTCCATCGTTGTAAAGGTTGTGAATGACGTGGTGGTTGTGGGTGATGGGGGGGATCCAGCTGTTGTGTGGAGTATACTGGTGATGGATGGAGGTGAGGAGATACTCTCGGTGTGAGTGGTCCCTGCACTGCTGGCAGACATGGAAGAGGAAAATGAATATGTTGCTGCGGGAAGCTCGTCAGGAAGGGAAGTTGTCTGAGTCCCTCAGTACTTGTGAGAGTTGGTCTCTCGCTGGGAAAGTGGTGGCCAAGAGGTCAGGCTGACAGGGATGAGTTTTCCGTATTTGGATGTTGGGGGAAGATGGGAATGCCACTTGTGGACCACTGCCTTGAGGTACCTGAAACACCAAATGTTAGGAGAAGACTGTTGTTGTAGTCCAAGGATTCAGATAAGCTCACAGAAGAGGTGGGTGACAGTTGTTTGGTGTTTGTCGAAGGGAATGTCCTGACCAGAAGAAGATGGAGTCATGGTGTGAAAGCAACCAGGTAACTGAGGTAGGCGAACTGAGGAGAATGGCAAGTTGTGGCTGTAACCTGCCTTGTGAGTAGGATGGTTGAAGAAGTGAAGCTTGGGGACACCGTGGGAAGGTGGTCAGGAAGTGGTGTTTTAACCAGGTGTGATAGGAGTCCGTGGCAGTTTCTACGGTTAGGAGAGAGGAAGGGTTGGGCGGAGAGAAGTCTCCAGGGAACAAACGTACCTGCATACTTGGGGTAGCTGATGTCGGCCGTGAATCTGTGGCTGTGCTATGGAGAAGTAGTGAGGTGGGTCTCAAGAATGGTTAGGTCCTAGACCTGGTGATGGTAGTGGGGAGTGTAGTCAACCAAGTGGATAGAAGGTGGTGTTTGGTGTTATGACCTGGTGATTTTTCGTGCCAGGACAGGTTTAGAAATAAAATGCTACTGTGAAGTGATGATAACGTATTACCGGGCTGTGGGCCAGGAAGTCGTTCTGCCCATAGAGCACTGTAATGTGGGAGTACTGAAGAAGTGATGGGGAAGAGTAAAGTCATGGCCTTTGTGTGAGAGATTCTGTGGACATGTCAGTTGTAGGAATCATGTGTGGTTCTCAGGGAAAGTTGGCTTGAGAGCGGGGAAGTGGTCTGACCTTGGTGCCCTGTAGTTGCACAGTGGTTAAAAGGGGTCCATCGATTGTCCGAGGTGGTGAAGAGGTGTTGGCAGCAGGTACAGGGGGAATTCACCTGTTGTGTGGAGTGTCTGGTGCTCGGCTGAGTGGAAGAAATAGTCCTCTGTTGCTGAAGTGGTCCCAGCACTGCTGACAGACCAGGAAAAGGAAAATGAATATGTAGCTTGGAGGTCGTGCAGGAGAAGAACTTGTTTGGAGTGCGTCAGTACTTGTAGAGGTTGGTCTCTCGCCTGGGAAGTGGTGGCAGAGTCAATGCGAAAGGGATGAGGTCTGTATTCTGGATGCTTGGGGAAAGAGGATATGACACTTGTGGGACATTGCGTGAGGAAATGGAACAGTGAATGTAATTAGGTCTGGTCTGTAAGTCAGGAAACAAAGTAGATCCCAACAGAAAAGGGTGGTGATAGTTGTTGTGTGTCGAAGGGATGTCTGTGTCCAGAGAAGACCGGTCATGGTTGTGGGTCACTATGGTACCTGAGGTAAGGGAAGCTGAGGAGATGGCCCAGTTGGGATGTGGCTGACTGTGGAAGTTAAATGGCTTTTGATGAAGGGAAGCTGGGGTACGGTGGGAGGTGGTACAGGAGTGGTGGGAAGTAGTCCACAAGGTGGATAGAGGGGGTGGTGTTTGTTATGTACCTGTGAGTCCATTTCCCTCTGGAAAACAGGTGGAGAAGATAAAATGCTACCTGGTGGAGTGATGAATAACGTATTTAGGGCTGTGGCCCAAGAGTCCGTAGTTGTCCATAGAATCCACCTGTATTGGTGGAAAGTGATTGAAAGACTGATGGGGGGGGGGGGAGTAAACTATGGCCTGTTTTAGAGATCTGGTAGAAATGTCAGTTTTGTACGGAAGTCAGTGTGTTGGCCTCAAGGGAATGGGCTGTAGAAGCTGGGGGAAGTGTCCTGACCTGTGCCTGTAGTTGCTACATGGGTTAAAGGTGGTTCCATCGTGTCCGAGGTGGTGGGAAATGAGGTGGTGGGCAGCGGGTGACAGGGTGGATCACTGTTGTGACTGTACTGTTGGCTGCTGGAGGTTGAAGAAATAGTCTCTGGTGAGTGGTCCCAGCACTGCTGGCAACATGAGAAGAAGGAAAATGAATATGTACTTGAGAAGGTCGTCCAGGAAGAAGAACTGTGGAGTGCCTGTCAGATACTTGTGAAGATTGGTCCTCCGCTGGGAGTGGTGCCAAAGGTCATGCTGACAAAGAATGAGTTTCCTGTATTCTGGACCAGTGGGAATGAGGACGACCAGCTGTTGCCTGCAGACATGCGGGAGACAATGTTCACTGAGGGAGGTCTGCCATCATAGGTTAATGAACCTAGTGATCCCCACCAGATGAGGGAAGTGATGGTTGTTGGTTGTGAGGTAGGGAATACCTGTACTCACAGAGATGGAATCATGATTGTAGAGTCATCCATGTTACCCAAGTTGTGGACTGAGGGAATGGCAGCTGTTGATGAGCTGTCTGTGAGTAAAGATGGTTGAAGAAGTGAAGCTGGAGGTACTATGTAGGGTGATCTGGTGGTAGTGGTGGTGGTTACCAAAGTTGTGGAGGAGGTTGGCTGTTTCTGCGGTTGAACCAATGGAGAGTGGGGTGAAATGAAGGTGCCCAGTGGAATGATGTTCTCTGTTATAGTGGGTGGATATGGTGATTTCAGTCGTGGGAGTTTGTACCAGGGCCACTCCCGCAGAATTAGGAAAGGTGGTTCTCAATGTAAGTCCCCCCATAGAAGAGATATTTGTAGTGGGGAATGTGTT